GTAACTCCAGTGAGCCACTCGACTGAGAGAGCACCGAGAGTAGCCAACATAGCCCACCTTCCATGAATAAGCTCACACTCCCTGAACCTTTGCAACCCGAAAACCTCACTGTAAGGCTGGAACGGAGTTGACTTCACATCAGAAACTTCAGTACGGGTCCCAATAATATCTCCAGCCAGATTCTTAGCCAAGTTTTGATCCAAAGAGTCAAGCTCGAACTGCAAGTACTCAGCTGGTCTGCCCAACCCAAATGGGTCAAACCCGTAATCACCAACCAAACTGCCATCTAGGTACTCAGGTGCCTTGGCTCCTGGATACCAAAGTGGGCGGTCTGGAGTGGTCTTCATAGATGTGTTGGGTGCTTGCTTGCCAAATCCGAACCTGGCTTGGACCCTACCCGCGTTTGAGTAGACGTCGGGCAGACGTGTTCCAATGAAGGAGGATGTAGCTGCAGCAGCTGTGGAGGCAGTCATGGCTAGACTCAGGTGTGATTTTAGGAGACTTGAAGAAGTGATTGTTAGTTCCGCCGTGCTACACTGGCTTTTAATGAAGGTTAGATGCTTTATCTTCGGTGGTAATTACAGGCCATTGGATCAATTTGCGTATCCATCTGAGGGTTGTGAAAGTATAGGCCTTATCTTGCCTTATCTGAATGTGGGGTCCGGTGACTTGTGCCTTGCCGGTAATATCTGGTCTTGCATGATGTTGAAGTTCAATTATATTATATTTATTTAATTTTCTATTATATTATTTGTATATACTAATATTAAAAATAATATTTTTTAAAAAAATTATTTTAATATATTTCAAATAAAAAATTATTTTAAAAAATAATTATTACTATTTTTTAAACACCCTTCAATATTAATATTTCTAAAGTAACCATCCGTCTCTTCATTACCTTTTACTTTTCATTTACTTATCCTTAAGAAAGTTTATACTTTCAATTCAATCGCAACATTGCTTTCGTTCTCCTTTACCTTTTTATCTTCAAGATTCTAAAAGAAAAAATGTTCATATTTTTCTTTCATTCTAAAATAAAAAAAAAGCTACTTCTTCCCAACTCGCACAGGAAAAACAAGGATAAGCAAAAGTTCATTCAGAAAATTAAGCATTCAAGAACATCACATACGGCTTGTTTTCTATTATGCAGGGAATCTGTAATCTTGAGCAAACACAATTTTTTTGGAAAAAGAAATATAAATCCCCTTCCATCAGATTCACGCTGAAAAAGGCATTGCTGAAAAAATGCGATAACACTCTTCCTCTCGTACTTAAAAAGATTGTAAATGCAACTATTTATGTAAAATTATTTATACTAATACGTAGGGGTGATTACAAAAATAATAAATCAATTAAACTAAAAAAATTAATAGAAAAAATTAAACAGAAAAAAAACTGATTAGAATATTTTTTTAAAAAATCTAATTTTATAATAGAGAAATCAATTAACTCAAACTAAACCAGTTATAAAAAAAATATTATTAATAAAATAATAATTTATCCAGTAATCCTGGCTATCCTCTCACCTCTACGCCTCCCCCACTCCTCCTTGGATTTAGACAAAAAAAAATCCAAAATAAATCCAAAACAACTAGACATGATGTTTTTCAAAATCTATGAACTATCCAGTTAGCCTTTCCTCTTCATCCATGCAAGATCGCATGGCACTCCAGTACTCTTCTATAGCATCCTAGCATATGCATCAGTTATATATGAGTGAGTTTTAATTCTATTTTTTTTCCTTCTTAATTAATTAATTAACTAATAGCTATTTTTATTTTTTCTAGCTTTATCATCTATTTAATTTATTATATTTGATTTTCAATACAAAGATTAGAGATACAATTATTGTTTTGAATGCTCAAAAATCTATTCATAAGAAAATTATTTGTATTTTTTATTTTAGTTGTCTCAAAATAATATAATTTTTTTCTGATTGTAATGGAATTTATATAGGTTTAGATTGTTCTTCTAATGCTTACGTAAATATTTATACTTATTTTAATTGGATTTTTATTCTTGTCCTCGGAAAGAAATGTATATATTGTGATCTAATGCTTGCGGCTTTGATTGATTCCATGGTTAGTTCAGGGGATGGTTCACCCTTGTGTTGTAGAATTTTTTTTATTGAATTTTCAAGAGATGGCTTAGTTTTTTAGGATCATATGAGAGAGTAGATGACTGAATTTAAGAAATATTTAACAAATGGCTAGCCTGTGCTAGAGAGTTGTGCAGAAGGGCTAGCTCTTGTTGATAAGCTTAGGGCTGTAGTATGTGAGAGTATTAGTCTTTATATAGAGAAAAATGAGGAGTTTAAGGATTATTTGAATGGTTTTACACAAGCTGTTTGGACTTTGCTAGGGAATGTGTCCCAGTCGTCGTCAAGTTGTGATAGTTTTAGCTGCTACTGCAATTAAGTCTTTGATTATTGCAATTAAGTCCTTTAATTTGTCAATTGCTGCCTGTAAGCATTCCAAGGTTGCTCATCTTTAAACCATTTAGGTGATGGTCAAGTGGTAAGAACTTGAGATCAAGAGGTTTGCTCCCTCTGTGGTTTCAGGTTCGAGTTCTTGGTTGCTCATATGATGACTACTGGAGGCTTACATGGTCGTTAACTTTAGGGCCCGTGAGATTAGTCGTGGTGCGCGCAAACTAGCCCGGACACCCACGTTAATCTAAAAATAAAAGTTGCATAAGGTACGCGCAAGCTGACCCGAACACCCACCTTAATCTATAAAAAAAAGATTGGTCATCTTTACCATTGATGAAGCAAAATCAGCTGAGAAAAGACAGCAATTAAGGATTTTTGTTTCCCTATTCAGCTTCCTATTTTCATTCTATTGCTTAGAACTTCTCTTGAAAATTACGCAAATTGGTTTGTTTCGTCTAGAAACCATCTTTTGGCCTTTTGTTTGTTTAATATCGAACTTAAGATTGTATTCCTATAAGCTGGAATTAGACAGAATTGAAATCTCATGTTTGTGCAAATGTCAATTGGAGTTCTTTTATGGGCTATTGGTGTACAACCCATATTATAACCTTGATAAACAATTTTTCAATCTATAAAAATCTTGAATTGGATATTTTTTTTATAAATTTATATCTTTTATTTTATGATTTATTAATTAACTTATTTTTATTCTAGCATGTTTAATTTTTTTATTTTGTAAAATTTAATGGAAAGTTACATTTATTAATGGATGATAATTAGTTCAAAAATTGATATATTTATTGAAAATATATGGTAAAAATATTCCATTTTATTTTTATATCTTCTAATGTAATTTATCATATTATAATTTTAGATTTTTAATTTCAGGTTTTAATGTCAATAGTATTAACCATTAACAAATCAAATTGTTTTATGACAATGTAATTTGTTGTTTTTTTAAGCTTTTTAAAGACAATAGTTTGTAATTTGTATTTTAATTTATTGGTATATATTATTTTAATTTCTCTATACCTGCGCACTCAATCAAAACAGAAAAAATAATATTAGAAAAGCAATATATATATTGAACACAAGATTGATACTAACAATTTAATATAAATAAATATTTAGTGATAAAAAAATAAAATATACTTTAAAGTTTTCTAGGAAAGTTAGATAATATTAACATCAATTAAAAACCTATTAGAAATCCAATTAAAAACATAAGAAAGCCCATTAGAAGCCTATCAAACAACCCATTAAAAGCCTAAAAAATATATATATAGGTTTTCTTAGTTTTTTGAAATCAAGAATCGAACTGGATTGAAACCAATCGATTAGACTCGGTTTTAGTTTTTTAAAAAAATTGGTTAATTGTTTTTTATAGATAAAAACTAAACCGAATTGAAAATGATCACTTCTACTAATATAGATGTATGTAAAGTTTAAAAGTTAACTTTTCATTCAAATTATTTGAAAATTTTGGTAGAAGGTATCATGTATAATTATTAGATTAATTAATTTTAAAAATTTAATTAATTAACTTAAATAAATTAATTTAAAAATTAAAATAATTTATATTATATAATATCAAAGCAAGCGTGCCCATACACACAAAGATGTTACACAATATCAACGCGATTGTGTCCACATACACATAGATACATGTGTGTGTTTTGATTTTTTCTTTTTTAAATCTTCCATTCAACATCAAAATCTATTAATTTTGCGTTTCAAAATTTATAAGGTACAACAAAACCTCTTTATTTTTTTATATGAGATAAAGTTATTTTAAATAATCTAATATAAAAGTTAAATTTTAACAACAATCCCCTACTTAACTTATAATATTAGATGATATCATGTTTCATGCATGAAAGGATGTGTCTTTAGATTTAAACCTTTTTTTAAGTGTTTTATGTGTAAAAAAATATTTTTAGATTTAAATTTATTTTTAGTGTAAGTATTTCAAATTAAAGAAATTATGATGATAAAAATATTTAAATCAAGATTTCATTAGAGAGAATGGGAAAAACTACACTCTTAATCCAATTAATTCAAAACAAAAGATTACCATTATTTCTTTTTTAATTTTTTAAATTGATTTTTTCATTCAAAAATAAGTTTTATAATTTATTTGACTATGATGATCTCCTAGATAGGCCAAGCTAACTTTTTAACTTTTTTTTATTTGATATTTCAGTGCTGTTGAATGTTAAGATTAATTAGATATTAAGTTTTATAATTTTTTTTATTGGTAGGAAAAGAAAAAAAAATTGAACTAATTCTTACCTGTTGAAGCATGAAAGATTAAATTTTTTATTTCAACTTTTGAAGCAGGAATCGTTCAATTTCCATGATGCCTTCGTGATGTAAAAAGCTTCCACGAAGAAAGCTGTTATGTTTCTCGCTCCCTTCTTTTATTACAGATTCAGGGAGAAAAAGCAATGCAAGACAAGTTCACCTTTCTTTTACAAGAAAGGGCGATCAAAGCTCTGCGTCACGCAACAGGGATCGCGTTGATCAACGGGCAAAGAGAGCCCTATTTCTGTTGTTCTTCAGCACAAGTTCTAACTTTTACTTGACAAATAAATTTCTAAAATCATAGCAACCAAACCGTGCTAAGAATGAGAAGGTATATATACAATGTTAAAATGTGTGCTGCTGAATGAGGGGAAGCAAGAATCATATACAAGCAACCGGAACTTTATGCAAACTTCTCCAGACCCTCACCGGTAACGAGGGTCGTAAGAAACAAACATTGGTTCAGGAACAATGAGTGGCAACTTATCAATGTACATGAACAGTCTTTTCAAATTCTGTCTAGTCATTGAAGACAAGTCAATGATCTCATTGTTGCTGGTGTAGATCCAAAGGTCACCTGAGTTGACTCTCTTGAGACTGTCTCGACAGAAAGGACATGATTGAGAGCGCGTACGCCTGAAGCAACCACAGCAAGATGTTAGAACATCGAGTCAAACTTACTGTATTACCAAAACACACCCTGCTCTAATTAATTGATGTTTACAAGAACAGAAAACAGATGATTTGGACACAATAATCCAATCCCTGACCATATTTGATAAGGTGCTTTTGGCAGGCAAGAACGACTAATCATTTGCCAGGGAACGATCTTTTTAAGCAATATATGATCAAGACATATGAATTCTATATGTTCAGAGAAGTAAACAAAAAATACCCATAAAAAGACGACTTAACAGATTGATGCCTTAAATGTTGATCCATAAAAAAGTAGTTTCTGTGGAATAATGAAATGAGATTCCCAACGTTTTGAATATCAAAATATGCTAAACAGCTTTATTGAGTATTTATCAATTTTCATCCCCTGTGCATACACTGCAGATATTGTACAAGCATCAATAGAAGAGGTGCTCAATGGGGAAAAATGTTAAAAGTCAGGAGTTGCAGATTCATTAACTATAAACTGAAAAGAGATGGATAAGATCATGTAGAATTTAAGAGAGGACCTAGCCGCATGAAATTATTGGTTAAATACCTTGAATAGAGTCCCCTTGTGTGATTATTTGTGCATACATCTAAACATGCTTGCGGTGTGGAGGTTAACTTACCAATCTCGATAGCACTTCATACACATTGCATGATTGCACTTGGGCAATACAACCCTGCTATTAATCTCCATGCAAATACCACATTCTTCCTCTCTTTCTAAATCAATTTCAGAGAGCTTTCCTTTGTCCATTTCGTCTCTCTTTTTGTACTTTGCACAAATTTCCTTTTGCTTTCTGTCTTCTACATCAGTGATTCCTCTTTCAAGTTGCATTAAAGAAGGAAATATCACCCCTGTAAGCACAAAAATAAAAGATCATACTAGGATAAGACTGCTGCTATCTTTGTTCAAGGAGAATAAATTATAAACCAAATACAGCAAGCTTCAAAAATTGTGTTGCATAAAGTTGAAAGTTACTGACTTCTTTAAACCTCACCATAAAACTCTCTTATGCTAGCCTTTCTTTCATAAATAGACATGGTTGTCTTTCCATCCTCATAAGTCTGTGACACAACATTATAATAATACATCAAGGTTAAGGCAGCATTTGTTTTTTACTATAATAACATCTGCAGGCAGAAGGGGGTTAAGCAAACAGAAATGGACTCCTGGCCACTAAAAACATCAACAAACTATCGAAGGAAATGCAAATTACCTTGTATATAAGAATTCTAAGCAATCCCAAGGCACCAGCTAGGTGAAAGCCAGTCCATTGGACAAGAAAAAGAAAAAGGTGAGCGGCAGGGCTGTAGGATAATCTCATTTGAAGGCAGGCACCATCATATTCCCTAGGATAATCAGAAGCCCTGCATCACAACAAAAACACATGCATATATCATATTTCAAGGCATAATGATAGCGAACCACACACACACAGGAACAGATTATCCAAAGCAGAAAATTCTAAAACCACAAACATGTTAGTAACCATGTCTTGAGCTTATTAAACTTTCTGCATTGGCAAGGGTAAGGACAGGCAGCCATTGATTGAGCAACCTATCTGGAACGGAAAATGGTACGAAGAGCAGAGTTTGGACAAAAATCTCATACTCAGTTTTCAAAAAGAAGGCAACTCAACTAGCAGGGCATCATTCATCTGGCCCATCTACACTGGCATCATGTGAACTCTCACATGGCTCCAAAATAGATAAAAAACGCACATTCACGGTTTTGATTCATTGTCCCATTAATGCCTTAAACAATTTGCTCTCAATAATCAATAACTATCAAGTGCCTGTGCCACAAATTAGCATCATGAACTCAACTTTCAATGAGAGAAATTCAACAAAAACCAAAACTTTTATTTTAGAATTATTTTCTCTCAATAACCAATAACTATCAAGTGCCTGTGCCACAAATTAGCATCATGAACTCAACTTTCAACGACAGAAATTCAACAAAAACCAAAACTTCTATTTTAGAATTATTTTTTCAACTCCACAGCGTAATTGACATAAATGCCTCAAAAAGGAACAACTAATTACAAGAAAATAAAAAAAGGGCCGCACGTAAAGTATCAACTTCCACTGCTAGTACTACCCTTTGAACCTTTATATACTTTGATTTTCTGGGATGCGCCAGAATTATTTAAATTAGAGGTAAAAAAATGCATAATGTCCCACTCAATAAATACCTTATACACACTGAAACAGATATCTACCCTCCCAGCGCACTAAATATCCAGGAAAAAAAAACAAAAAAGAAAAGAACCTGACAGACAAGAACAAACACGTCATGTCATGAGGAAAAAAATCAAAACTTGAAAATCAGCTAAGAGGATCCAGAAATCAAAGCAAATGCATCAACCCTAAAAGAAATATCAACTCAACTTATCCGAAATCCCAAATATCTCACCAAATTCGGTGAAGACAAAAAAAAAAAACATAACAACAGAAAAGGGGAGAAGAAATTACAGAGTATTGGCAAATTGAATATCAGCTTCAAGAGCTTTAAGAGAATCCTTAAACGATTTCCTCATCTCCCTTTGCTTTTTATCTTCCAAAAATCCACCACTCCTTCAAAAACCACCCATTACAAATTTCCCATTTCCTTATTTCACGTTAAAAAAAGAGAAAAAGAAACAACCTTGAAATTATCTCCAAAAGAAAACCCAATAACAAAGACAAACCCAGAAAAAAAAAATTATGACTGTTGGCAGGCAGAGAAGGGCACAGAGAGGTTGAGAGAAGGGAGAAAAGGAGGAGCAAAATGAAGAGCAAGGGTTCCTATCGCTTGGTGCGCACGTAATTGTCACTCTCATTGGTTCAGGTCATTGGTAACCTAACCTAGGCTTATAAGCACAAGAAGCTGGAGGAATGTAGAGTGTACTTGTATAATCACGTTATTACCCTTACTTTTGCCTCGAAATTTATGTCCTACCTGCTTCCTCATGTTTCTGCTTATTATAATTTATGTGTAGGTTTTGAGAAATTATTCAAAATATTAGGATTTTGTTTTTACAAAAATATGAGTTATTGAATAATTATTAGTATATTATTCTATTATAAAAAATATATTTAAATAGAATAGTTATTATGATGATTTTTAAATATCATTTTGTTAAAAAAAAATATAAAGATTCAAAGTTAATTTAATATTGTATTCTTGTTTATTTTAAAAGTTTTTTATTTAAAAAATTATTAAAATAATTTTTTTATTTTTTAAAATTTATTTTTGATATTATTATATTAAAGTATCTAAAAATAAAAAATATTCTAATTTCTCTTAAAATATTTTTAAACAGTAAAAAATATTTTAAAAATATTTCAAAATCATTAGAAATTGCAAAAAAATCAATTTAATATTACAATTATAAGTTAACAATAACTTTAAAAGTGGGTGGCGTTTTGCGTTTTGGTTGATGTTTAGTCTGGCATCTTATGACGCGTGGCATATATGCATGCTTTACCAACCGTTAAATATGGATCCCACTTTTTTTATGATCATGTTGTTCATTGGGAAAATAGATGGACCCCACTAAAGAATCAGATCATACCCCAAGGTTCTACAAAACTTTGAATAAGAAGAACCACTCCCCCACCAAGAAGTGTGTATTTGACATTTATATAACTTTTACGATTTTGATTTTAAAAAATAAGTTTAATAAAAAAATTATTTATGATTTAAAAAATTATGTTTAAATTTTTTTAATTAAAATTATTATGAGATAATTTTTTATAGATAAAATAAATAAAAAACTCGACTTAAATGATCAATTTATTAATTTAAATTAAATTAAATGGAAGTTCATTCTATGTAAATTTATTTATTTAAATAATTACTTTACATATTAATTAACCTTGTTAAAATATTAATTTATTTTTTGAATAATATTTTTTTAAATTAAAATTTTAATAATATTATTTTAAATTATCAAGATCAACCAAGTAAACTCATTTCCATAACCTTGTCACTCCCTTTATTAATAACTTGCCTCCAACCCTTGTTCGGGAAAGCGAGCTGTTTTAGGAAAATGAGTTCCACCAAAAATATATTTAGATATTTGACTGAATTGAGAAATAAAACCTTAAAGTTATTAATTTCTTTTAAAATAGTAATATTAAATATTTTTCTATAATTAATGTACATTTAAAATAAGATTTAATGATTTTTAGAGTATGACAATTAAAAGTGAGTAAAAAAAATCAGAAAACTAATTTGATAGGAAAAATACTAAAAAAGTAATTATAAAAATTTAATTATAAAAAAACTAATTAAACTGATTAAAGTTTTTTAAAAACTAACTAATTTGATTTAGTTTTGATTTTATAAATCTGAAATAAAAAAAATAAAAAAAATTAAACCAAAATTAAAAAATCGAGTCAAATTTAAAAAACTAAATTTAAACAAAATTTTTTACCTAAAACTAAATCAAACTAAAAAAATCGAGCCAAAATCAAGTCGAAAATCAAATTAAACAAGTTTAAGTTAAATTTTATTCTAAAACCCAAACCAAATTAAATTAAAACGGATTAGTTTAGGCATCTTTCAGTTACATTCCAGATTTTTTAAAAAGAATTTTAATTTTATTATTTTTTTAATAAAAAATAAATTAAACAAAAATCGATCACTTTTACGAAGCTCTGTGGATAAGTTCAAGGTCACCCAAAGGGATAGAAGTAAAGATAAATAATTATATTTTTATGACTTCTAAACCATTCCCATTGTTTTCCTGCTACTTATCTAAACCGGTCGTCGATTGCAAGAGGCTATAAATTCCTACCACATTCATTAATGAAACCATGGGCGTCACCCAAGTCAAACTCAAATATAATTAATTAAAATACATTTTATTTTAAAATATATCCATATATTAAAATAATTTAAAACAATAAAAACTTAAACTTTAAATAAACTGCAACCCCAAACACTAACCTTACAATTCGGTATAAAAAAAATTTAATTTGTTTATTTTTTAAATTAATTTTTTATATTTTAAAATCATTTTAATATATTAATATAAAAAGTTATTTAAATATATTTTTAAATAAAAAATAATTTTCAAACAATCCGGTTTCACAGGCTACAAAAGAGAGTAGATAAAGAGGACAGCAGCCAGGGTCAAATCATACCACCACTCTCTTAATTGGTTGTAGCATGGTCGGATCCAAATACATGAACCTGTCCAGCGATTTCTATGAAGAGGCGCGTGGATGGACCCCTCCTGACAGAGACTTTTTCATGACTCGACAGGACCCACCATGACGAGGGATGTGGACCCTATCGATAAGCTCTATCTAGCTAAAAAAGACTAGATACCAAGCCGCTGAGTTGCTTCTTCACCCGCCTATTTTGACAATCCCCAAGCTAGCATGATTTTGACTGCAGGGTTTCAATATTTTAATGCAGTACATGAAAATATATTTTATTTTTTTATATATTTTAAAATTATTTTAATGTTATAAATAATTTTTAAAAAATAAAAAAATATTATTTTAATATATTTCTAAATAAAAAATATTTTAAATCACAGTTAAAAACAAAAAACCATTACAAAATTGCATTCTGCATGGATTCTCATCATGAATGAACCATCAAGGAATCAATGTTCCTTATATCTAACTTCCTTTGACCATGTATAATTATCCAACAAAATCCATTTTTTGTCATTAATTTAATTATTTTTTTATAAAATGAAATATCGATCTAGTTTACAACATCACGATTCATACTTCAATTTATTAAAAAAAATTATAAGTTAATAAACAAATAAGATATTTGAGAATGACAAACATCTATAAAAATAATTAAATCTAAATATAAAAAAATAAATTCTTTTTTTAACTAGATCACAATCTAAAATATATTATTTTTAACCATAACCGTCTGCATAGCTTTTATTTTATTCTTAGAAACAAAACAATTTTTCATTATGAATCAAGGTTGTAGCATTTTGATTTATATTGAATTGTGAAAGATAATTTTTTGATATATTTTCTCTATTATTTCAAATCTTATTTTAAAGAGAGAGAAGAGATGATTGTTATAGAAAGATAAGTGAAGAGAGAGGAGGAGGAGATATGAGAAAAAGAAAAAAAGTGAAAAAAAACAGAAATATTTTTTTTTAAAAAAATAATACAGTGTTTATTCTATATGTAAAATATAATTTTTTAAAATATAAAAATAAAATATTATCTTGCTCAAAGTTTAAATTTCGAAAGGATAAATAAAGAGTAATTTTCTCTTTAGTATTTGTTTTTTATTTAACACGTGCATTTTAAAACACCTTCAAATACAATATAATCATCATATTAATATTTGAGATAAAAAGAAGATAAAAGGTAATTATTGAATGATTGATTTTAATGATAAAGACATTCCAGCCTCCCATTAATCATTCCAAAGGCAAAAACAAAAGAAAACCATTGGCAGCAGTTGAAGAGGGAGATGAAACCATTTGGTTGTATCGCCGACACGTCAACTATACATAGTCTTAAACAAATAGTTTAAGTAAGAAAGATAACTAACTCACTTGAAAATGAAGGATAAAGACATGTTTTGTTTAGGTGGGGTTTGGGATTGCAAGCAGCTTGTATTTTCAAAATTATTTTTAGCTTTAATTTTTTGTTTATATTTTTTGTTTATTTTGATATATTGATTATTGTTCTAGAATTAAAACACCATAAACACTTAAAAGAAGGTTGAATTAAGTATGCAAAATAAAACTTTAAATTTAATTTTTTTTATCTAATAACATGTAATTATAAATACTATATAAATATAGTTGTTTTTGTTATTATCTAAATTTTATTTTATTTTTGTGTTTTGATCTTTTCTTGATTTTCTTTGGTTGTTTTGAGTTTATTTAGATTGTTAGGTATTATAAAGTGTCATAAATAAATCTAGTTGTATTTAGCAAAACCCTATTACAAAGTCTTGATTAGCAAAGACAAAAACCATTATGATTACAAGTTCTTTATTATTGATTTTTGCAAATCTTTTATTTATTTATTTGATGATTTCTTTAATGATATAAACTTGTCTAAATAATCACAAAGATGTGTGCAATATATAATATATATTTATATTTATATGGCATGCATTGTGTTTTATTTAAAAATTAAAATAAAATTAATGCAAGTGGCACATAATTGTGTTACATGTAGCATATTG